AAGAGAAGTACGGCCTCGATAGGAACAACGTGACAGCTAATGCTGGCAACCTAACTGAAGGTCGTTCCGTTGAGCTCGCCAATGATGAAATTGGGGCTGCTTCCTTTATTCGTTTGTTAGCTGTTGGCTCACTTGAATAACGCTCCGGCATTTGAAATATATCAACCACCCGTGAAAATAGTGTGCCTAGTCAAACAATTGAAATTATGAAATGCCTGATTTACGAATCTTTAAAATTTCTTTTTTCTAACATATTACTTATTATTGCTGTTCTGAACATTATGCCTTTTTTGAAACTGAGTGTTAAAAGTGGGCTAAGTACATTTACCACGTGATTATTGAATACCAAATCTATATCTTCAAAGAAGCCATAAACGAACAGTAATGTTTTGCGAATAATCGTGACTTAATTTTTTTTCTATTTCGCCACATTTGTCTTCGAAAGTCCTTAAAAATGCATTATTGTACTTACACAATACGTTACCGAGGTTACCCAGGAAGATACCCAGTATTTATAATTGCTATTATCGCGCTATCATCACTATATTCATACACGAAAGAATAAACTACTCCATTAATTTATTTTGTTATATTCTTCAGTGAAGGTAATTTCTTGGAATGTGAGCAGATTTGTTGGCAAGGAGAAGCTATGGTGAAGTTCCGATGTTAAAATATTACCTAGTGATCGGGGAGATATGAAGGAGACATGGAAATGAGTTTATTATAAATTCATCCATTTATACAGTGGTTGTTTTTTATGTTGTTTTAAAAAATTGTTCAGAAGTTTTATTGCGAAACAAAGAAATTTCTTTTTAATCGTTTCATGTTTGTAGAAATTTGTATCTCGTACTGCCTGTAATAGATCAAGCATACATTTAAGTACGATGGATAATATATATGAAGATTGTCATTGCTGTATGAATAGAAATTTCTGAGCTTTTATACTACATATATGGGTATAATTATAACATTTTAAATGAGCATTTTGGGTGACAAGAGCTGACACTGCGGAGGACTACTTGTCTGAATAATATGTTCACTTATTTTCTGAACGACCACTTTGAAGTTTAGATCTTATTTTAAAAATGTATTGTGTTTTTGTCATTCTATGTTAGTCTTTTGGGTGTTTTGAAGAACACATGCCATGCACGATGAATTTATTTCTTGTTATTTTGATTAAATTTCACGTTTTGCTCCTTCAATGTATAATATTTGAAATAAACTTTGCGGATACAAATATCTGGAAAATATAATTTCATTTAAAATTGCTCTCTTTTTTATGGTTGTGAAAAATAATGGGATTAAATATTATAGACTATAATGAATTTTCTTTGGTTCTAAGACTAACTTTTTGGTCGTTATTATTTACGAGTTTACACAATACTAAGGTGGCCATATTTTGAAATCATAAAGACGGGGGATTTTAGTTTTTGTCTCAACGATAAAAGAGGCAGAAGCGGACGTTAAACACTAATATTTAGTTTTGTAAATTAACATTAAATAAATGAAAAAATACCTAGTTGTGTATAAGTTTCATGATGTAGTAGTATTTAATACAAGCCAAGCAAAGAATTCGTTATAAAAGGACAAAATATTTTTTTAAAATACGCATTTGTTTAATTTGAACTTTCATTCATTACATACTTGATAAGTATTTCTCAATTAGTATTGCATACTAAGTCGCACAGAAACTCTCAGAATCAGAATTGAAATATTGAAATTCTTCATTTCGATATCGCTGGCGATGAAAGATAGCATATATAAAATGAAATGAAGCCATAGATGCATTTTCACATTATAGAAACCACAAGCGACTATAAACGTGCCGCATGGGCACAATATCTTCATGGGCATAATATTAACGAACTTCTTGTGCACCTTGAAGTGTAATAGAATTATAATACGGACAATTTCGGAATTTAAATTAATTGTCATGGGTTCAAGGATTTTTGAAGGTTGGTATGGGGGTAGAAATGCAATCATCTGGCAACGCTGCTCTTAATAACCGTTTAAGCTTTGATCAGAATACCGAGACCAGAGAATAGTTTTTCACGTAATGACTTCATACTTTATCCATTTCTTGTAGTGTGAAATCATATAAAAGTGCTAAATGAACCAATTATTCCATAATTTTGTAGATATTTATCGTTCCATATTGTACCATTATTTAATTATCTTTTCCATAATTCTATCCAACTTATCAGGAAATACTGACTTCATCTCTTTGCTATTATTGAAACTGTATAACTACCGTTCATCCTGCCTAATTAATCTAATTCGTTTTGTGTTTTTTATAAAATATCAACTTTTTTCTCACTAAAAGAAGTAGTTTTAATTACTATCCCAATTGCACGTGGCAAACAGTAACACAACTTTTGTTTTAGGCTAATGATTCCTGATTTGCTTAACCTTCAAAATCAAACATGGTACTTCATTATAGATGACTCGGAGGTGAGAAAGAATACACATAATATACAGCAGGATACGTATTTTATTAAATACTCGTAGAGAAATACAAGTGTCCTACCAATTATGAACCACCTAAATGGTTAGCGATATCGATAGGCAGTTTCCGCTCAACGTTGCGAAGTGGGGGAGAGATCATCTTAATTAAAAATAAATTTTCTTTGAAATGATCGATTTTTTGAATTTCAGTGGGAGACAAGTTAAATCTAGATGAATCAATGGAAAACATGTCTCATTCTGGTCGTTAAAATTGGTGTTAGTGTGACCTCAGTGTCAAGACCATGGATTTCTGTACTGTAGTCTCTTATCCTTCACTGCCAACCCTTCCAGTCTCCCCTCTCCACGCAACAGTCTTGACGCTGCGAAGGCCACCTTCTCGGAAGGTGAGAGTTGCAAGGGCTGGTACATGAAATTTAATACTCAAATTACTATCACCATACCAACATATGGTATATCATTTTATTACTCTTTTCATTATCTATCCATTGCTAGTGAGAATATATATTTCCATTTAAAAATTCAAAGATGATTAAATTTCTTGGAAACAAAAAATATTGTATACAATTTCTCTGCGGCATGCTACTTGCCCCATGATTCCGGATTGTACAGCAAAAACTGCATTTCGATATCCTGAACCGTCTAGAAGTTATGGGGGTGGTCCATAGTTGGTAAGACACTAGTATTTCTCTACGACAATTAAATAAAAATACGTATACCTGCTGTATATTGTAATCGATGATGACATCCATTACACGCCACGTGGATTCCAGTCGGACTCCAGAGCTTCTCGACCAATCATATTCCTCGAATTTTCGGAATCCTGGGCAGAATGGCATTCTCTTTGCAATTCGTGCTTGTTTTGTACGCAAGTGTGATATCGCTCCTTGTACGTAACCTAGACATTTCTGTACCCTGTGTTTCTCGTAATATTTCATTGTTCATTCAACACAAAATTAATCTTGAAGCCAGCGATAATGACAATGAAATTTGTACTCCACTTGAAATTCAGGAAATAGCACATTCGAGAACTCTACTATTTCCAAAAAATTAAGGAAGTATTATGAACCATCATACACAAAAACTTGCAAAATACCTTACCAGCATCATCGTGTACTAGTACTCACGTCAATTTTGATGAGTCAATACAATCAGTGACATGTATTTCTAACTAAAGTCGTTTGATCATTAATTCTGTCAGATAATATCAGACTTATTATGGATCTTATATTACGACATTGATGTAGGTAGTTCTTAAACTTGAGTTTCAAATAAAACAAAATTTGCTCAAAACTATTCTGAAGGGTGTAGAGAAAGTGTAGTATTCTCACGCAATATTTACTCGAAATTAATCGCTCCCACATCACTCCTGTCAACTCGTGAATAATAGCCATCATGATGCGCTCGCACCATTCTTAAACCCTGGGTGAAACATATTGCTTTCCACGTTATAATCTTTAGAGTCTATTCACCCTAAATGTTACTAATTTTTCCATGTCAAAAAATTACAGAGAGTGTAGGTTGGTTTTCTGCTAGAGAATGAAAGCATAAATTGTCTGTCACGTCTTATAGAGTTGAGTGGGAAATATATTTATTCAAATTATAGTTCTCCATGATGTCGCGGCAGGACCAAATGTTCCTTCAGAAAGAAAATGATGGAGAAGAGCCCAAAACTACAACTGATATGCTCTTGAAAATATATTTTCTCTACGACTACAAATGAATGTATATATTTTTGCACGTTATCGGATGCAGTAATGACGATTCTATAAGCCGTGAAAGAATATTTTTCTCTAATCGATGATCACATTCGTCTTAGTTTATTATACACGACAGAAGGTTCTCGCAGACGTCCAAAGAAGGCTAAAGAACAGTTCTGAGCGATCTGCCGCGCCATACGACAGGTGAAACACGAAACAGTAAGCGAGGGTTACGGTATTTTTAGGGTCAGAGAACATTGAGTGTTCTGTAGCCGTTCTATAAGGTTAAGGCACTTATTTAGTATTTTTGAAACATCAATTTGAAAGTCGTAAAAAATAGTATACTCTTCTACTCGCGTGGAATGGAAAAAGAAGTATTGAAAACACTTGTCAATTTACATCAATACCTTGAGTAAGTATTGGGCTCACCGTCAACCAACAACGTTCTTCTGCGAAGGATCAAAAAACGGCCGAGGACAGGTGGGAGAAATAAAAAATATCCAATAAATTGACTATATTTCACAAAGTCTTAAAAACATTTCAATAAGATATAATTTTACTTCTGACTTTTCAGATAAGAAATTTTAATTTTTTTTTTAAAAGTCTTTACAATTTCTATCTTAATACATCTACAACAATAAAAACAACGTTCCATTTCTGCCTTTGAACAATGAACATTACGTAATCTTTTCGGTCACGGATACAATTCTATAGGGCAGTGAAATCAAAATAATAATTAAGAATTATTTGTTAAATAACTGCTTGCTGATGAAACCGTAGTGAAATGTTCGCTGATTACTATACGATGCAGCCATCGGTTAGTTCGGTTAGCTAGGGTCAGATGTCATTGATGTTCAGCAGCGGTGTCCTTTCGTCAGGTGTGTAGCCGGAGGGTCCGGGTTCGTCCTCGGATGGTGGCACGCTGAGGGGGAGTGGCCGCTGGCGTAGGCTGGGCCCCAGCGCACGGCGCAGCTCTGCGGCCGCCGCCTTCACCGCCGGCGCCGTCTCGGGCCGCGGCCAGCGCACCACCGGACGCGTGTCCAGCAGGAAGCGCAGCAGGCGCGGCAGGCGCCGGCGCTCCAGCGGCTCCAGCTCCAGCAGCACCAGGAACTCGCGGTCCTCGCTGAACAGCTTGTGCTGCGCCATCTCCAGCTCCCACTGGCACCACTGCAACCACCAGCGTCACAACAAGTTCTCCATAATGCCTTAGGCGTTGTTATCAATGACATGGAACAGACTGACCTTGCTGTCGATGAAGTGTTGAGTAAGGACGACGATGACCTTCCTGCTGTGCTCGATGGCGTCCACGATGTTGGTAACAATGTGGGTACCCAACCGAAAGTCTCTGTCGAAGAGGCACAGAACGTAGCTCTCTGGAGGTCGTTCCAGTGAAGGACACATCTTACTCAGCACCCACTTCCGGTTTTTACCACTGCGATCAAGCAATTAGAAGAATATAAAAAATGTGGTGTGATATTTCCATGACTGAAGTTTGTGAATTGTTATACTTTGAGAATGACATCACATACTTGGCAGAATAGCCAACGTTTTCTCCTTATTTTTCTAGATATTTATGGTAAATGGTGACACAATAATTTACGTCAAGGTTATTTAATTTTTATTCAGTAGTCAATGTTGATGCAAAAGTGAAAGATTATCCTTATTTTGCTAGTAATTTATCATCAATTCGAACTTTTACATCTTATTTGAAATTCTCATTTATTCTCAAAAAGAACAGCAAAAGAGCAGTTGGTCGAGAATGACGTGAATCGATAGTTATCGCCAATGATTGATTGATTAATTATTTCGTGTTTACGTGTGCATCAACTTCTATGGAGATTATTCTCATTATTTTTTTAAGTGTATTTTGCATTATCAGAAGATAAAACTTAAATAAACAATTCGAGCCAGTTTTCAGAAAATTTTGAAAATGTTTTTGAGGATTCATGTACATTAAGTTTAAAAATAAAATTTGCATGTCAAATTCAAGGGTCGGCGACATCAGTCGTATCTGTCGCGAAAAATCAATTTTGGTGAAAATCCTCAGAGTTGTAGTCGTTCGCAGGCGGACAGAGGACGTTTGGCCGTGATTCATTTTTTTAAGGGCCCTCCAAACGTATATTCTGACAATACGTGTTAGAGAAAGAACTACTTTTCTGCTGATAGAAATAAAATTCATCCACATTTTTGTTATCGCCCGGCAATAAGAGCTTTTCTGCCGAAAAATCGACCTTTGCCTGTTTAAGATTTGGCAGGTGATCTGCAAATGTACCTACCTGCAGTACCAAATGTCCTATTCCACTATTAGGGGACCTAATATTTGAGGTAATGTGAAATATTATCTTTTAGAGATAGATAGGTACCAGCTGGAAAGAAAGTGGGAGCAAAAGCGAATAGCTAACCCTGCTGAAAGAGAGTAGGAAAATAACTAGTTCGAGAAAGTTTATGTCATTCTATGACACCTTAGTAGTGTAATCTTTGTCGGTGGATTGCGGTCCTTCACACTTTTGAACTCTTGCCGCTGTTTTATAATCCACGAGGAGAGTTCCAAGAACGAATTTTCCTCAGATGTGCGTAAAGCTGTCCGTGATAACAGGGATGTTGGTCATCAAAATTATGAACTTGGCAATCTTCCTTGAGCTTGTTTTTCTTTGTTTCGCCTGATGACTGTATCACCGCGGAAGCGCAGAGCCTAGCCAATTGGTTGCTAAGTACGCCTGAATAAACGTTCCTCGCCCCCAAAGGCAAGTCTTCGTGCACATCCTGGTAGCTTAGAGGGAAGGAGGTGGGGGTTACTAGGATTTTCTGCTTAATCATTGAATAATGTGTGCGGATCGAATTTTTAGGATTTTAATTATCTTGTTGAAAATTACGTACCTTCTATTGACATACCTTCTTTTGGTAGGTTGAAATAAAAATTATGATAGAAGTTTTACAATTTTGAAACGGTTGAAGTATGTTTATTCATTCTTTGAATACTTTCAGTACAATGTTTATTTATTTCATCATTTTAAGAAGATGCTGTAAGATGTCTTTGATTCTATTGCATGTAGAATATGCAGTCTTAAGAACCAATACTAAACCATCATTACACCTTGGTTCTTTTCTGTGTAATTTTTGTCACTTGGAGTGATAGCAGATTTAGTCATATTATTAGCTTATGAATTAAAATTCGCCGAATATGTGTTCCAAAAAACAAGAGAACAATCTGAATCTATAAAATCTGTGTTAACTAACAGCATCTTTCAAATTCTCACTGTGCACTATGATGAAAAGTTTTTACCAGAATTCAATGTCAGAGAGTTTGCAGAAGAAATAATCCCAGTAGTTGTGTTATTTGGAGACAAAGAGTAGCTCATCGATGTGTCAAAATGACCAAACGCCTCTGCTAAAGAGCAAGCGAAAGGCTGTTTTATAGGAAAATTCTGCTGTGATACAATTGTCTCAAATACTGGTCATTTTAATAGCGGATGTGTTATATTCAGTTTTTCATCAGTCATATTCAATTTTTTCATACATTTTTTGCAGAATACGAAGAACAAAAATAATAGTGTTGCTGTGTGCATGTATGCAGGATCATTGACGGCTTTACCCGTTCGTGGAAATGAAACATTGATGATAAAATATTCATAGTAATTAGTGAAAAATGAAATTTATTCAATATATTGCATCCCAACTGAAGAACCCGGTGTTGTCTGGGTACTATTTTTCATCACAATCGTCTATCAAAGAAAAATAAAATAATTCATATATTGTGTATCCCGTCATGCTGCAATTATAGTTGCTACCAGCATGGTTTTTACAGGTCGCAGTAAACACATGTATCCTCCCAGCAAACTTACAATTACAATTTTGGCCTTCAGTTAATGCAACACTAGAGCAGTAACCAATATTTGACCTTAAGCTCAAGACGGAACGACTTAATGTTAACTTATTTGCACACAATTTCTCACCTGAATTAGTATTTTCAAATGAAAAAAAAATCTAAGAATTATGACTAAACATTAGGACCTTTCTTGTTGCTCTTATAAGGGACACTATAATGGGTATAGTACAACACTACACATGTACTATAGTGTATATACACGACTGTATGCCAATGTATGTGTATAGTATTGTGTCACTTACCTGTAACAAACGAAAGCATCATATGAAGCTTCACTGAGATTCCTGACCGTCTTCTTGGAAGTGGAACGAATCTTGGCCAGATGCACCAGGTAGGCGACCTCCGTGCGGTAATAGAAAATCACGCCGCCGATCACAGCGAACGCCGCCACACTTCCCAGGACTGACAGCGCCATGCCCAGCCACAGGCGACGCCGCGGAGTGAAACACAAGGCATCAAAATCCACCTCCTGGACGAACTGCCCCCTCATGTGAGCAGGTCGGAAGCAAGTCAGACGCGTGGATTCGTTTAAATTCAGAACTGTGATCTTGGTGGTACCTAACCATTCTTGTAAGACCTGCGACCGACAGTCCCCACAATCTATTCTGTTTCCACCAAGATCCACTTGTTCCAGAAAAGAAAAAGATTGCAGCATTGCACTCGAAAAGATGGAGATGAAGTTATTGGAAATATTTAAATTACTGACCCATGCGTTTGGTTTATACGAAGAACCGTTTTTGAGGAACGTTTCTCTCTCAAGGTTTAACTGGCTACATAATCTTTCAATAACAAATATATTTTCATCATCCCAACCCGTTATATTGTTTTGAGATAAGTCTAATAGATCCACATAACAAAAATCATATTTTAGATTTCTAAAATTAGATATTAAATTTGAACGCAAGCCAATAATTCGGAAATAATTGCTTGGTAGATGTGGAATTGCGGTCAAATTGCATGAATTCAACTGAACTGTATTGAGAGAAATACCCATTAACGCTTGCGAGTTATAGAAACTGAGGGGATTATTACTTAAATATATTTCAGACAAACGTGGTAGGCCTTCAAAAGCATTGTTTTCAAGGAATGACAACGAATTTTGCATGAGCTCCAGATGTTCTAGTTGAGGGAAATCTGTTAGTGCCGCGTTGAATGACTTCATCTTACAGCTGTTGAGATATAACTGGGTGAGAGATGGAAGTCTGGGAAATTGTCCACTCCAGTGTTCAATAACAGTGCCTGAAAGGTGTAGCGATTCCAAAGAAGTGACACGGTTAAATGTTTTTGGAACAAGAGAAAAGTTTTGCACCATCGATTCAAAATCAAAGGTTTTGATTTTTTTTAATTGTTTAAGTACCCTTGGAATTTCGTGAAACTGATTTTGACGAATAACTAAATCAGTTATGTGCTTCGTTTTCTTCAAATCATCTGAAATAAAGACGGAAAATATTAATAGATTTGCAAGAAAATGTTTCAAACTTATTGCCGAACCCTTATGAAAAATTTATTCATTATTAAATGTAAAAGATTTGCACTGAAAAATATTTTCGTTTTTCACAAATCTATTTGCGTATATGCGAAACTAGTAAAACACGTTTTACTAAAAGAAGGAGAAAAAACGGAGTGATAATTTTATTTTTATAAGATCAATGTGACACCAATCGTTTCCGAATAGCCCTGATGGTAAAAGCGAACAATGTTCCTTGGTACTCAATAAATAAGAAGGTTGGGTTGCATTAAAAATATTTGAATTCATATTAATTTTCAACCAATCTGACTACATCATTTATGTAACGGAAATGCTTCAGTGCAGCAAACTAAAGCAATAATAATAATAATAATAATAATAATAATAATAATAATAATAATAATAATAATAATAATAAAGACTCAATTACCACCTTCAGGGACGTAGAGATACCGATAGACAGAGAAGCTGGAAGGAGCAACACAATCCGACTGAAGTCGGAATGGACTAGACTAGGTCCAAAACACGAAGTAGAAGAACAATAACAAAATCTAGAAGAAGAATTGATAAACTAAGTTGGTCAATAGAGATTCCACTACATCTTTCGTGCTTGCGATGGTACATGGTAGGTCTCCCATTCCTACTTTTCTTCTCCCTACACCATCCATTTTCTCTCCCCTCCTCCCTCAATCGACTCTCTTCCTCTTTCTTGTTCTCACATACCCTTTCACTACCTACCCCTTTCTTTTCATCGTGTTCCCCTCCGACTTTCCACCTTCTCCTTCACCGCTTCACATTCCTTACACGCCCTCTTTGGACTTCCACTTCTATCCGCATACCCCCCCA